TCGGCGTGCTTTGATGCGAAATAAATTTACAATTTTTCCAAATTCCGTAGTCAAAACTGCAAACTAGAGCACGACTCAAAATACAATTGTACAGGGTCGTTAGGGCTCAAAAGGGTTTATAGGGCTTAATACAGGGTCTACGTGCAACTTCAATAGGGTTCTTGACAGACTACAAATGCTTTCATAATACTGATGCATGTTTCTACAGTGCCAGAATTTCTTTTTGAGGCATGGGAATGCGTTTTTAAAACTCGAAATATTTGAATAGGAATAAAAAACTTTCATGACAACCGCAATAAAACGTCTCATCGAGACTCCAGGATATCGATATGTTGTAGAGTATATGCTAAATAAACGACAACAAAGAGATGGAATATAACTGCGCTCATTTTGTAGATTGTTTTTTCTCGAACAGCCGGAACCTCAGTTCTCCTTTACTAGTGCGAATAAAATTATTGGATATTTGAAAACGCATATTTTAATTTAGCGTAAGAATATTTCTTTGGGTGGTCTGTGATTTTTTAAAAAGTCATTGATGAGGCGAAAAGAAGTACTTTTCCTATAACAACTTGACGTGGGTACAAGCAGAACGCTATAAATAAAATGGGGGGTGTACGAAATCTTTCAAGAGGAGCAAACATAAATGGAGTGGCCTGAAGCGGTAGGTAAAATTAGAGCAATGAAATATAAAAAATAATAGCACTTGTTGGTTTCGATCCAACGACCTTTGGGTTATGAGCCCAACACGCTTCCTCTGCGCCAAAGTGCTCCTGTTATCTACGACCACAACACAGACATACCATCACCACGAAGCATCGTCTATTTATTATTTGCAATAATTTTCATTTAACCACTTACTCTCATTACGCCCATTCAAAAATCCAAACAACTCTATTCCCGACTCCTTGAACCCTTCCTTGACCGCATTCCCCAATGATCTTCTTGTTGCAGCGGAGAACGCTACATTTTGACTTTTTATGACCAATCAGCGTGCTTTGATGCGAAATAAATTTACAATTTTTCCAAATTCCGTAGTCAAAACTGCAAACTAGAGCACGACTCAAAATACAATTGTACAGGGTCGTTAGGGCTCAAAAGGGTTTATAGGGGCTTAATACAGGGTCTACGTGCAACTTCAATAGGGTTCTTGACAGACTACAAATGCTTTCATAATACTGATGCATGTTTCTACAGTGCCAGAATTTCTTTTTGAGGCATGGGAATGCGTTTTTAAAACTCGAAATATTTGAATAGGAATAAAAAAACTTTCATGACAACCGCAATAAAACGTCTCATCGAGACTCCAGGATATCGATATGTTGTAGAGTATATGCTAAATAAACGACAACAAAGAGATGGAATATAACTGCGCTCATTTGTAGATTGTTTTTTCTCGAACAGCCGGAACCTCAGTTCTCCTTTACTAGTGCGAATAAAATTATTGGATATTTGAAAACGCATATTTAATTTAGCGTAAGAATATTTCTTTGGGTGGTCTGTGATTTTTTAAAAAGTCATTGATGAGGCGAAAAGAAGTACTTTTCCTATAACAACTTGACGTGGGTA